TGACCAGACCTGTTTTGTCACCTTGGTCTCACTGACCTGACCAGACCTGGTTTGTCACCTTGGTCTCACTGACCTGACCAGACCTGTTTTGTCACCTTGGTCTCACTGACCTGACCAGACCTGTTTTGTCACCTTGGTCTCACTGACCTGACCAGACCTGGTTTGTCACCTTGGTCTCACTGACCTGACCTGACCTGGTTTGTCACCTTGGTCTCACTGACCTGACCAGACCTGTTTTGTCACCTTGGTCTCACTGACCTGACCTGACCTGGTTTGTCACCTTGGTCTCACTGACCTGACCAGACCTGGTTTGTCACCTTGGTCTCACTGACCTGACCAGACCTGTTTTGTCACCTTGGTCTCACTGACCTGACCAGACCTGTTTTGTCACCTTGGTCTCACTGACCTGACCAGAGCTGGTTTGTCACCTTGGTCTCACTGACCTGACCTGAGCTGGTTTGTCACCTTGGTCTCACTGACCTGACCTGACCTGTTTTGTCACCTTGGTCTCACTGACCAGAGCTACTTTGTGAATATATCCTCACAAACCAAAGCTGTCATCTCGACCTCAGATCCCAGATTGATTTGTCACCTGACTTCACAGCCTTCTTCCTCACAATAATTACTCGTTTTTTGACGATTCTGTTATTATGTTATGGACATTTATTGTTGTACTCAGAGCCAGAATTAGTGTGGATTTAAAAAACAGTATATGTCATGTGATTGTTGGAGTTTTTACAACACGCCCACCAGCTAATATTACTCACATTTGATGTTCTAGATGAACCACATTATTTGGTAGTTTTTTTACCACTTTCTGTCGAGTCTGTTCGTTACAAAGCCGATTAGCGTCATAAGAACAATAAAAATAATCTCGTTATAACGAGTTGCGTTGTTTCTTTATTACGACTTACGTCATCTCGTTATTACGACTTACGTCATCTCGTTATTACGACTTACGTCATCTCGTTAATAATGACTGTTCTGTGCGTTATCTGACCATCTTTTTATTTCTAACTCGGTTCAGTTTCTTAAATTAGTTTTTAAACGAAATAAGTAGTGACGTCATAACAATAGCATTACAGTATGTTATTATCCGGAACACCTAAATACCATTTCCGTTAGTATCAATCTCAAATAGCAAAATATATCTACTGAAGTTTAATGTTATCTCTGCTTTTATGTACTGTTTTACGTAATGTCAACACGTGATGCAGGTTAGTTTAAAAGGAACTTTTTTCTAAAACATAAATATTTCAGATACTAGGGACAACGTTACCAATCGCTTGCTGAACCTTACTCATCAAACAGGCGTTGATTGAATTTTGTATCCAAAACGTTTAAATTAACCATGATCATGACAGAGTTCTCGTCTTATCACCCGATATATTGTACTGATACCTAACACACTATACATTCTAGATGAAGGAAATTATCGTTTGTTGTAGTGTTAACAGTATAGTCAATTTTACTTATAAATGACCAGAACTCGTTGTTATTAGCAGTATACCACTTTAAAATGATCTTTAATTAATAGGTGTCAACGGTATATCACTTTATATTTATCTTTTTTCTCGTTAATATTAACAGTATACCACTTTGAAATATTCTTTTTTTTCTCCTTAGTATCAATCATACTCCAGTTTGAAAGGATTTTCTCGTCCAGAATCAGGACCAAAGAAAGATTTACACGAAAAAATACACGGAGAATATGACCACATGTTCCGGAGAAGTAAGCATCTTCGGCTTCATAAATCACAACCGTGTAAACCATGGTAAAGTTAATGGTAATGTCATATTCTCGAATAAGAACAAGGTATATAACACCAGAACAACAAACTAGCTAGCATCGGAAACGTTCGCCTTTCTGTAATGAGATATGTATGACGTTCGTAGGACTTCTCAAAGATCGCCGTTAACAAGTGTCTCTCGAAACGCTGTGTTGAGAGCTTGTTTGAGAGTCGAAATGAAATTTTACCATTATTTTTACTTGAAAGATTCCGAACCAATTTCATCTAAATTTAGAATATAAAGAACCACCTAATTGGCACGTGATGATATTTTTAATTACTTATCATACACATATGTTAAGTACATCTTAAATCTTTCTGAAGCCAATTAAATGATGCAAACATATCAAATTAATATTCATTTTGTACATTTTGAACCCGAGTTTGCTTAGTTTGTTCGCCATATCTGTACAGTTTGTATATATATGTTACTTATGTGTAACAAAACAGAGTAACAATAACTGGTGAATTGAACAGTGTCCTGTGGCAGGGACACGATTGATGATCCTTTAAGTAACAGCTTCAACTGACGACAAACATTAATTGAAATCCAGCCTAAAAATTGGCAAATACTTGTAACTAACTGTATGTCATCGACCCTCATATGAAGATATGCAGTATTTCAAACTAGAAAACAATATTTTTAAAAAATATCAATTTTTCACATTTTTTTTTTTTTTTTGTCATATACATTTAGTACATATGCAGCTGATTCTGTTTTACGTTGATGAGATATACAAATTGCACGGCTTAACGTACCAAATTGTACAAAATGCATTTAATTTCTACGATTTTCCTATCAATTTCTCAACTGGTGTATAGGACTAATGTGCCTACTTTATGTCGACCGTTCGACATTTTAGATTTTATTACCATAATAGGCTCAATTAAGTTGTAGTTTCAGAAATTTTATACGATCAATATAAACTAACATCTAATATAATGTAATTACTTATCACTTCTGAGTTTAAACCCGAACCTACGTGTATACCATATTCATTGAACGTTTAATGCTCTCGTGAACTACCTATCTGTGCATGTTGGAAAAGTACTACTTGTGTCATCCGGGCTCTAAAATTGTCAGATAAATTAACATTATGATTTTTTTCAAAATATGGGAGTAGAACTACTCCCCGTCTAGATTTTTACTTTTTTGGGGGATGTAACTCTGGAGTTTCCTCAGTCGCCTCAAAGGCTTTGAAATTTAGACCCTTTGCATCAATGACGAGTCCTAGAAGGACGAAACAGCTGTATGATGTAGCATCACTGACAAGTCCTAGAAGGACGAAACAGCGGTATGATGTAGCATCAATGACGAGTCCTTGAAGGACGAAACAGCTGTATGATGTAGCATCACTGACGAGACCTAGAAGGACGAAACAGCTGTATGATGTATCATCACTGACGAGTCCTAGAAGGACGAAACAGCTGTATGATGTATCATTACTGACGAGTCCTAGAAGGATGATGTAAGTCTACCTTTGTATTAAGAGGTTCGATTTAATTGTGTGTCTTCTATAAAATCGTTAACCCATTCGGACAGATTTTGAAATAGCAGACGCCAACAAAAGACACAAACACAAAAAACTACGCATTCACCAATACCAGAATAATTATAACACTGTTAATTATAAAACTAAAGAAAAAAACAAAAAATCAATTACAACCCTGTTTACCAGGGAGATACAAAAAATGCTTATAACGCAGCTTATCTAGGAGATACCAAAACGAGAGGGAAAACAGCACTGTTTAACAGGGAGATACAAAAAAATACATATGACGCCGCTTATCAAGGAGATACCAAAACGAAAGGGAAAACAACATTGTTTGCCAGGGAGATATCTACATGTCGTACGAACCTATAGATAATTTATAAATTCAAAGTAAATCATCTAAATTATGAGATGAACAGGATGTTGAAGCGACAACAAATCGCTTTAATGGTTTACAACCATTGAACATTGGTCCAACATTAAATGGTTTGTATTCATGATGGGTAAGTGTTCAATAAAATCTGTTCTGTTATACACCAATGTGGGTACATACATGTAGTAGCTTTAAGATGCATGTACCACAACGTGTTAAATAACACTGTTTAATTTAACACCTATATAATAGTATCTATATCATAGCATTGATATTCAGGGCAAGGCTTGCATATTGTTAGCATATCAGAGGGAATTAGGACGGAACGGAGATAAAGAATTCATCAATGTTCTTCTATGATAGATAACGAAAATCGAAATACAGATTACATACAACAAAAATAATCGTGAAAATCACTTTTTGTTTCTTAGTTTCCGTGACGAGTGTGAGGAAAGCTTTAAACGTAAACATTTTTCCTGAACTCTATTGGTGTCATTATCAATATCCGAGCAAAAGAAAAAAATAGGAATTTCAATATTTTGAATAAGTTTCAAAAATAAAAGGTCATCAAAATGATCATCGGGTAAGGTATCAAGTACCTTATAAATGAGATTGACAGTTCGGAAGAAACGAACTTTTGGGAAATAACTTGACGCCGTCAGTGATGTAAAAAATGCACAGTTAGCAATAGGAATGCAATCGACTTGTCCATGTTGACATAACTTTGTTGCCGGCGTGTTATGTGTAAGGTTGCTATTTAGTTAGACTGATAAAGGATTTCTGTCCAACCCATACAGATCATGAGTATGCGAGGGGAAGGAGGTAAACCAGTATCACTTCAATGTAGGAGTGAAAGGCCGAGAAACCATCATCATGTATCCATCTTACCCAATACCCAACATGTAGGGGGAGACAGGAAAGTCAATTACGTCAAATATATTGGTTAAACTAGTACATCAAGCCTCAAGGCTAAGAAAGAAAGGAACATTTAAGTCTGTTGGAAGAAATTATAAAGCAAAGTTACGAAGGACTAGAAAACTTTATTTACATATCGCGTCTTTTTTTAGAAATGCTGTATCAAATATCGGGAAAGTTACGAAAGACAAGAAAACCTCATTACTTATCGGGACTTTTTGGAGAAGTACTGTGTCAAATATTAAGGTGGTATATGGTTGAAGTTTATGGTAAAACCTGAACAATGAATACATGTTCAGATACAAATAATTTAACTCATGTTAAGGTGCCGGAGGTTAGTCGAGTTTTCGTCTAAGTATGGAACTTGTTCATCCAATATATCGTTGAAAATACATAGGGATGCTTGTTAAAGTTTATATTTAAACTCACCTGTAATGTTGATCGCTGGACACGCTTAGGTTGGTTGTCTGTGGAGACTTGAGACTCCTGTTTAACTGGTCCACACGTGACCATGGTCATCCAACAAAATAGAGTTAGGATCACAAACTTGGTCATTATAATGGTGCTCTGGTGATGCTACAGTTCTTCAGTTCTCAGCTACTCTTTGCTCCTTGGCACACTTTGTTATAAAACAATTTTTGATCGTCAACACAAATTATTTATAACGAATTCTTGTAACGTTGTTGTTCAGTCTTTAAAAAAATGAAATTCTGAATCTAAATAAATCTTAAGATCCGGGAGGACGTTTTGTTAGTTATTTGTCCATCTGCTAGTTTGTGTTCTGCTTGTAGTCCTGGGAGGGTGGTCTGTTGATGTAAAGCATACTATCAGGTAAGCCCTCCTCCGATCCGTGTGTCAATCCGAAGTGGACAAGACCCTTTAAGTAGCTGTGTTGAACCCCCGCACAACGTTCTAAGGTCAGATGTGTGCGTCGGTTTGTAGACGGCTATCTTATTGTTTCTGTCGCCGAAAGCCGTCGGTAAACACTTCTACTGGGACATAATGTATCCATGCCACGTGGTCTGAACACCATCCCTCACAGGTAGTCGTTATAACGACTTAAACATTGATTTGGTGACAATGATTAACATAACTATGCTATGTAGTGTATCCCGACACACGGAAGTTGCCAGGTAAGTAGTATCTGCCATTGAATTGGAGACATTGATTAACATACAACAGTCACACCCAACATCGGCCACGTGCTTACTAACCAGTGTTCCTTCAATACCACGGCAATTCAACATCAGCAGCTTAACTAGCCAATCAAACTGGGCGTAGTAAGGGCGTATTAGAGATGACGAATCACAGAGCGCGTGCAGTTGAGAGGAGGCAGGATTAACGGTGCTAGATCGAGATCTACTATACGATGACTAGCAGATTGTTTAGCCCGCAGACAGTCGGACTGTTATCATCGCTCAGAGATATGTTTCCCTCACTATGCTCTCGGTTAGATATACATATTACTTAGAAATATATTTATTTCACAGAATAGATAGCATAGTTTATCAATGTTGATTTCAGAGTTGAGATTCCAAACTAGTCAGATTCAAGTCTTAAAGGGGAGAAACGTTGAGATTATACGATAAAAAAAGATACAATTACAGATATATTATACAATATTATAACGGGAAAAAAACTACGCGAACGTCTTTTTACGTTGGTGTTTACACTCGGGTCCAATCTTACTACATCACAAATAAAAATGTACATGTGTTAATATCAGATTGATGTAATGAACGAAACATGACGTAACAGCAAACACACGGGTTTTCTTGCTATTCGGATAAATAACGTTTATATCTAAAGATGCAATGTTGACAGTTGGACATCTTACAACTGTTTCTCACGTTATAACACATCCTTTGTTTTTGGATCTACTTACAGAAATTATCAATTGGCAGGACTACATTCGATCTGAGTTAGGTTTTATTTTGCTGAAGACCAGAGAAACCAATTAAGACATTTTTTTTATATAAATTGGACCTTGTTCAATAATCTAACGAAGGTTTGGCACCAAAATGCTGTTGTTGTCAAATAGGTATCTCCGGTGTACATGTAAGAACACGTTACAATCAGACGTTGTTGACAAATATGCGACACCAGATCACAGATATGATATCGTTCAGACATTGCTTATGACAAACACCTCCCCAGTGACTCCTCAGACCGAAACCGTTTTTATATCCAGACAATTGTTAGGCGTCACCAACGAAAATACCGATCTAGATCAAGTTTTCACAGCATTTAAGTGATGTATTTTTACTCAAAGCTTCACATACATGTATCTGTGTGCCAAAATTTGTACAAAAGACACACAGGTAAACAGTAAGTTTTAATACAAATTTAGAATTACACAATAGCGAAATGATTAATCATCATTCGCCCTGCAACTGTTTCGTCCTTCTAGGTATCATCAACGACCGGGGAAAATACACAGTGATCGGAAAAATTGTCAAAATCTAGTATGGTAGATGTCCTAGCCCACAATTCAACAAATGTCTTTATATATCTGATGCTTTAAGAAGAACGTCAAGCACATGTGTTTGAAGCAAAATGTGGCATGCAGGTATAGCAAACCTTGTCGACATAACGCCCATGAGCAGTTTCTATCACCTGAAATCTCGCAGATTGTACAACAGACATGCCAAGTCCGATGTTTAGGTAAGAGATATCCAAGAAATCAAATTGTTGTATAATTCAGGCCTATGGAGAAAAAGGGAAACAACCAACAACATGGCAACACAATTATAATCAAGATTCAAATCCCATACACTAGGGCAAACTATTAACAAAAGAAAATTTACAAGGCGATTCCTGGAATAGTACAAGTAATATAAGACCAGGTGTTCTGGAAGATTGAGCGTCTTCTACTTCATCGACCACACCCACCATATAAAATCCAAGTAAGTAATGTCACGTTTTCAAATGACAACAAAGTATGCAACAACGGAACCAACAGGCAACCAAGCAATTTAACAAAATGTTAAATAACAAATGTAATATATCTTATAAAGTCTCCGCACCGAGATATATTGTAAAATGTCAGCACCATATAGTTTGTAATTGGTATTTTTTTATTTTGATAGCATGTATTAATGTTTATATGCTGGGTAATCTCGCTCATTATTCAACAAACATATACTTTTTGTACAGATATTATCAAAGGTTTGAAATGTTGTAAGGCTCATTGATGAAGTTTTAAAACCTTGAATTTACTGTTGAAATAACTTTTGAAAAAAAAATAACACTGTCGCCTTTTGAGTACTCATTATTATTTTTTCTTCACTAATCAATCGTAGATACATTGAATTATGAAGACGTTTACTCTTCCAGAATGCTGTTAATGAAAGACAACATGTCGTTGAGTCGAGTTTTATTGCAAGATCTTCTAACAGACTATTGTCATTCCTGTTGGGACTAACTGTGACTCTCTGTCGGCTAATTTGCTGTAATAGAAAGCTGAATTTGTCGAATCAGATCACAAATAACCTGGACCAGTTTGATGATCGTTAATTTGTCTGTTGGTTTCGTTCTTTTATATGTTGTTCTCCTGACTTCATGGGTGTCGTCGATGAAGCAGAAAACGCTTACATTCCTGGAACACTTTATTCTCCTTGGAGTCTCAATGTAAATTTTTCTTTTGTTAACATTTTGCCTACCTTTATTAAATATGAGTTTGGATTATGAAAACCAATGCTCACTTTCTTCATTATGTCTTTAATGATTGTAATACAATGATATTACATTATTTTGTACATTAAATCTTAACTCCACCTGTACACCCTCCTGTTATCGATTCTGAGTTTGATATGTATGTTGTGTCGAGAGATACGATTGAAGAGAACAATAGGGAAGTTTTAAGGTAGTCGTAAGTTCATTAGTAAATATTCTATTTCCTCATTGGAAAACATTCTATTTCCTTGAACATCATTGTCGGATAAGTATTTTTAGTTGTGTGGTTTTTGTTCACTTTGGTCTCATTTGACCAAGTTGAACATAGCGGGTGTTGGATTCATTAGGTGACGCTTATTCTTCCTGAACACTTTTCCACCATGCATATTTTCACTAGACTCTGTGTTTTGTCCGTGTTTAAGTCGGTTTTGAATTTTCATTTGAGATTGTGCTTGTATGTCGATATTTCCGTGTTTTTTTTAGAACAAACTTGTATCATGTTTTACAAATTTTTAGTTAAGTGGTGATTTCTATAGAAAATAAGAGAAACAGTCGGACTTCATTATACAACCAAAACGGCATACATTAATAAGAAATGAATCACGTTGTCATGTGACAGTTCGTAACAACATCATAACATGATTGGTCATACAAAAATGACGTAACAGGCATTCTTAAAGAGATATATAAAATGTGTGGTCGAGAAATATGGTCACATCAGATGTAAATGCGACTGTATCAATTTGTATTTAATAAAGATATAGAAATGGCATTTCCTGTGTAGAAATGCCTCTTTATACGTTTTAATTATTCATTGGCATTTAGTCACCTGATGCTAAAGCGATACCAATCACAATAACCTCCTGCACTAGTGCATGCATATAGCAGTTTTTTGTAACGAGACACTCTAAAAGGTCTATATCGGAATTTGATGAGTTATCAAATAGCGGTTGTCGATTGGTATATCGAGGGTGTTCACGCTTCAGCAACCAGGCTAGTTATTAGGACTCGCGTTCATTAAACCGTGTTTAACAGCGACTGGTCTTCCTACATCAATGTATAAGGATACAAACATTTTATGCAGTCTCGTTTAGTGAGAATAACATTTACGCGAGAGAGTTATAAATACTGCACGCGATCAGGTGTGAAAGTCTTGTAGCTAACAGAACGGAAATCGCCTAATAAGTGAGTTCCATTGGGCAACACGATGCACCGACCTGACACCGATGTGATATTTAACGTCAGGTTTTACTGTAGAAATATTTAATGGCAGGCCTTAAGTAATTGGTTCCTATGGGACATTTGCATTGTTGTGCAGTTCATTATCGCGTGGAGTAAAATAGAATAAAATCTGAGGAGAAACAGTGACGATTAGAAGAGAATGAGTGCTGTAACAACATGGAAAATATCAACATTTTATCACAATATTAATTCAAACAACAAATTCGATGAAACGATTGTATGAACCAAACAAAGTCTTCCAAAAAGTAACAGGGGGAATAAAACCAGGTGTTCTGCGATTGTAAACGTCTTCTGTCTCATTCCAAGTAATTAATGTCACGTTCCCAAAAAAGAACAAGGTTAAAAAAACACAAAAAGAAAGAGAAAATATATATGAAACAAAAAGTCAAGTCTTTGATTATCTTGTAATTTTTCAGCATTCTACTAACGTATCCGAACAGGTATATATTAGATAAATAACTAATTTGGTTGACCAGGTAACTGTCTTTACTGATTGTTTGTGGAACAATTATAGTTTATTGATAAGAACATTTGATAGAGAATCCCACACAATATCAGCATATTCCAGTACTGGCATGATATACGAGAAATATATCTGTTCAAGTAGAAATTTGAAGTTCCGTAGGACATATAGCCTTTCAGATGCCATCGAAATTATAATGTCTAGGTGGTTAGTCTGACTTAGGTCAGTGTTAGTATATACAATTATAATGTCTACGTGGTTAGTCTGACTTAGGTCAGTGTTGATATATAGAATTATAATGTCTAGTGTTATATATATATATACAATTATAATGTCTACGTGGTTAGTCTGACTTA